TAATAGTAGACGCATGAGAAGGGGACATATTGTTTCCTTCTCACTCGTTTGTCACCTTATATGAATAATAAAGATGATCTACAGATCAGTTAATAATTCTTATGCAGATTAGGCAACTGGTTCACAGATTAGTTGCCAATTAGTTATTGAGCCTAAGCTCAAATGGTAAGCTAATCTTTTGAAACATTTCAAAACTAATTTGCACATGCCTAATAATCCTTAATTACACACTGATAAAGTAGCTTCTAAATGGTAAAAGAATCTTTGAAAACTACCCAGTAGTTTTTGAGTTATTTATTGAAATAACTCAAAAACTACTGGCCAGAAAAACTATTGAAATACAAAAATACATTTCCTCTTTATAATAGTATAAAGTCATAACTTTTGTAGTATATATGATATGCTTGTTTAGTTAATTTTGTGTTCTATTTAAAAAAAAAATCAGTTATATATCTTGTTTGTTCCCAGCGGCGGCAGCTCACCCTCGTACGTGTACCGATTACTGTCAGAGCTCTACGACCCCAGCGACTACCAGCTCTAGCAAATACACAATATTGTCTAAAATTGAATAAATATTACAATTTATTTAATTATGATTTTTATTTCCTAACCTTACATTTTGACAAGCAAAAAAATTGACTTGTTCCTATCTTCATTATACCTTAAATTTTAAATGAATATTAATAGGACATTTTACTAAAAAAATACATTTAATTTAATTTAACTTTGGCTCTACCCGCTTTGACATTTGCGCACGAATGGTTCAACTCGCCTGGTTACAATACCACGACCACACAAGACAGGCGTCAAGTGGAAGCAATTCCGCGTTTCGTCTAATGATTGGTGCCGGAGTCCTAATTTTAGTCCCTTTCCCTTTCCACCCTTTTTTTAAGAGGAAAGAATGGGAAGGAAAATGGGATTTGACGGTGGAAGAGACGCTTAGGAAGGGTAAGTGTACTCTTTATGTGCATCTCCTTACCCGTCAATTACGGGTAGGCGACGCATCTGCAATTGCAGATGTTTATGGGCAGCGGTCGCTTTCCATTTCGGTGGATTCAGGAGGCTGCTTGCTCGTTTGCCACCTCGTATTATAAAAAAAATGTTCAGAACAATCTAGAAATAGTTAATGTACAAATATTCGTTGATAAACAATCTCATTACTGCAACTGGGCTGACGATACAGAAATATCTCAATATGTCAAGAGATAAGTTCCTGCTAGTTCCAGTTATGTTATCTGCTGGCTGCTGGTTGTATAAACCAGCTCTCGGAACGAATTCAGTGAAAGCGACATAACGGTGTTGTGTCATCGCCGGAGGAGATACAAATAAAACGCAAAACTATTGCAAACGCGCCGCGAGACATACCAAACAATAAATAACATTTCCAAAACCCCTCGCTCTCGCCCTCGTGTAGCTGCGTCTCTCTCTTCCTCGCTTATTAGAAAGAGACAGATGTAGATGACATGAAAATTTCAACTAACTTCACGTTATAAAACATGCGTCATGTTGGCTGCATTATAATAACAATGGGTGGGGCTATTTGTAAGTGAAGCGCTGCAGCGCTGTTAATTTTAGACGCTCAATTTAAATGCCGAGAGACTGTTGGCTATAAAGCACTTGATGTTTGAAACGGCAAAGGGGACGAGTTGTGTAAAGTTTTTTATATTAGGCTTACGTATTGTGTGGCTCGGACGGAGCGCAGCTTTTTAATACGTTTATTTGATATTTTTATGGTTTTCGAGAAGTTTTGGAGTGTAAATTAGCGATCGGTAGTTTTGCAAGAGCGGTGGACACATGTTTGGTATTACAGTGCAGATCTGGAGCAGTGCGCTAGTGCGTAACACAGAGAGTGAAATTATCTCCTGATTCACATTAATTATGTGACGAACAATTTCAAGCGCGCGGTGACGCCTTCTCATTATCATGCTTCTTTTTATAAATGCCTAAAACACAGCTTTAAAATGCAAGCAATCTTCATATTATAATCTAAAATCAATACTTTCGTGGCATAATCTTAACGCACCGTTTTTTGTGTCGGACATATCGAGAATTCTAATTAAAAATAGTACAACATCCATTCAATGTTTCGTGTACAAGTGCAATTAGATAACAATTAAATAATCGTAATTAAAAATTGAAGTGATTTGGCGGTCGTTTTCGAAAGCGACGCGAACACTCGCCCGCAGAGGGCGCCGCGCGCAGTCCGTGACGTAGGCGCTCGTCGTCAGTCCGCGCGAACTTCGCGCCGAGTCAGTCGCCTTCAAAACGTTATAAGTGCAGGTCCGTAGCCCTAAAACCAGCAAGTTTTACAGTTACCAGTTGCGGAATATAGTGTTGGAGTGTAGTGTTTGTGTGCATTTGTGCGTAGTCGTGGCGAGGCGGTAGCATCCGCC